CAAAATAAATTCAATAGCAAAAAAGTTGTGATAATTTATAATATTTATATACATGTCGTTGTAATGACGTTTCGCTGACGCTGCATATAAATTGTCATAATTTTTTTACTATTACATTTAAAGATCTAAAATTTTCCAGAAAACTTCTTCAAATGTTCAACTACAATGTAGCATTAATGAAAATTTTTAATTCGTAAATTCATGACACAACTTTAACGTTTGAAAAAGAATTCACTAAACTCGACAAAATATTATTAAAAATCCGCCATTTTGTTGTAAAGTGCTTCGAAAATTTCGGAATAGCTCTACAAGTCGCAGAATATGTCAAAGATTATTGTGTAAAAATTTGAATAATAAATATTAATATCCACTACGTCCATACGGATGTCAAACACAATAATAGTAATTAAATGTGCCATCTAAAATGTATTAGCTCTTATTAATAGTTAATTTTTACACAGAACAAGAAAATTGAAACAATATCAATTTGATGTCATATTGATTGTTTATTGACTGAATTTATGTCATTTTTCATCATTCGATCAATGAGACGTCAAATTGATATTATTTAGATTTTCTTATTCTCTTTGGATCATTCAGTATACAATAGTTAATATAGCATCTGTATGGAATATAAAATAAAAATAAATACAGCGTGCAAATACGCATTATATATGGATTTTGAAAAGTCCTGTTTTAGGTATATAAAAATAAAAGTGTAGCGTACAAATACACATGAATGTAATCGTTTCTTTTAAGTTCGACCTGGTTAATTACACTCTATATACGCTTTTAATAAATTCTGTTTTTCTTTGTAATTCTTTTTCTTTCTTTATATCTCTAATTATGTTTCTATTTCTTTTTTAAGGGGGCATATACACCTATGAATTCAAAATAAGCCTAACTTTGTGAATTTTTTGTAGAAAAATGGAAAGAGATAAAGAGATCGTATTTTTGTACTTTTCTCTCTTTATCATTTCAATTTTATTAAAAATTAATTAAAAATGGAGACGTTATTGATATTCTTGTAAAGTTTGTTTTAAAAATCATGGTTTTCGGTGACCACTGTCACTTCCACAAAATTCATCTGAAAGCAAATTAAACGACACAAGTTCTATAAAGTTGAAATTAAATATACATAAATCTATTCCTTATCGTAGCCGAATTTTTTGAAATATTGCATTTAATATCCTGAGATTTCGCGAGTTCAAGTGCTGCCGTTCTCCCAACGCCACTTTTTGCGGTTGTACTAATAGCAACATTTTTCTTCCGTGTAATTTACGAATTTTTGTTTACGTGCTAAATTCAAAGGAAAATCAACAAATATATTTTTAATACATAATAAACGATATTTTTGCTAACTAAATTAAATATGAGAACTATCCTAACAGGATTTAATTTCCTCTCTCAAAACAAATTGATATTTACGG